TCTGATAAGGCTGTTCTTCTTAAAACAGCATATGGACAGTATTTGTTTATATTGGATAAAACACAGAGACCTTATCGGTCAGTGTCTTGGTCTGGTCTGGGTGTTCCTGATTTTGATTATAATATTGCCAAACTGTCGTCTAGGTGATTGGTTAATTAACTTGGCCATGTGCTCCACCCGTGTGTCAAATTTATCAGATAATTCAGTCAAGAAGTACAAGACTTTGATATTGCGATGTGGTAGTGATGTGACAAGATCCCTGTTTTTTGCATTACAGGATTAAAACGCGAAATTGAGAGTTTAACTACTATCAGGGGTAAATCTCTTCTCTCTCGGGTTCTCCACACTTGTCAGGGGGGAATCTCGTCTCGTCTCTCTATCTCGTCCCCTTGAGGTACGGGATCGGGAAAGTCACTTTAACTTAAGGCACACACAACGAAATACGTTTCAACTCTCGTCTTAGTCGATCTTTTGGAGCACTCTGCCAGACACAGCGCCCTGGGGAAAAGTCCCCAAGACTCTCCAAGGCTGACCCAAGACTCGCCCAAGACTGGACTGCGTCAAGGCTCGCCCCAAGACTCTCTCCAGGACTGCGTCTCTCGTGGAGTATTCGCCAAGACCAACTCAAACTCTCTTTATTCATTTTCAAAACTCTAACCAATTACAAAACAGTAAAAAGACTCTAGGGCGTAACCTTCAACCATAAAGCCAATCACACTAAGTACTGAATACGTCATATCTTTTGATTAATCGTTCACTACATTAATAACTACGGATGTCAGAATAGCGACGGTATCTTGTAATTAGTTCCAAACCACTGAGCCAAGTTCCGTCCAAAACTTCAAATAGACCTAAACGATGACAGACATAACACAGCAATTCAGCTAATAATCAGTTAATTAAGTCGGTTAACAGATACGCGAAAACAAATTCATGACACTACATCAAAGGATGAGTTGTCATAAACCTGGGCTCAACTGTCATACCAAAACTTAAGAACAGCAGTATAACATCTAAGATCCAAAATCAGTGGTATGAGTATGAAGATGGATAAGATAAATCAACTAGATTGTAGCAATCTTAATATCTTGGACTTTATAGTCAACTATGTTGATCCTCAAGTTTGGGATTTTACATTGACATCGCTTACATTGACAAATAATGAAATGTCGAAATTTAACCAAATTAAACTTGATGAGTTTGATTGGGATAAGCCATACACTGGTGCACTACGTAATACACCTTCTCGTGTCAATTCACATTTACTTGAACGGCCGTCTTGCATACATCCATAATGTAGAATGTGTACATCCATTATATTTACTTCTTGCCAGTACACTAGATAGCCATACTAGTAGTAGAACTGAATGTTTGGAGTAGTTGTATGTAAAGGCACCTTATTAATTGAAAAAGGGATGGATTTCACTGACGGTTCATTCAGTATAATATATGTGGGCAACATTGATAAAATGAGTTCGTATGCTACTGTTAAAGATAATCAAGATACATGAATGGTGTTCAATGGTGTGTCTATCTAAGCTGTTTAGCCTGCACCACACACAATTCATTGCAGTACTGATGAGTATGTTACATTTTACTCCATTTTGCAACCGGTGAGGGTATCTGCCTAAAACCAATTCATGTCACTAAAGATAATAGTTTCTTCCATACGTAGCAATACATTACAACCATTATTTGGCTGTGTGCAATAGATATATCAATGGGTTTCCATTGTCACACGAAATGCAGCAACTTCAATCTCATATCAGTGACCTTTTGAAAGAGTTTTCATATCAATTGTTGCTCAATCAAAAAGAATATTTTGATAGACTGCCTGAAAATGAGGCCACAGCATTATTTCTTTTTTAAGAATGTCAGAACACAATTTCGTGATTTTCATAGATTCTGTGAAGAATGAGAACTGCAGAAATGTCTATTGCAGTTTTGTTTTCTGTCCTAGTTGTGTGTGTTTTAACCGTGACAAAGGTGTCATGAGCAAAGTTTGGGTTTACTGCATTTCAGAATAAAGAACCTATTAATGTACCTCATCTTGCCACACATTATTCATTACTTTTTGACGAGAAACAGCTTGCAATGCATTCTGATCCTCTATTGGACATTGAAGCCACACGTAAGGACTTAAATCATGCACAGAATATCCCATTTTCTATGGTTTACTCATTACCAATCACCCATGATGTATCAACAGTAACAAGGAAGAGTAGGGCACGAACACGTGCTAGTAGTACACCATACACTGGTCTGATTCATTTTCTTCAACCAGAAACACTATTTACTATTGATGAAAAATGTCTGATGATTTACAAAGTAAAATTTGTCAATACATAGTCACAAAGCATGCTTAATGTACAAACGCCTGAAGTTTATCTTTCTGGACTAAAACATAATCTAGCTTCTGCTGAATCCCCAACAATATTCCTTCCACTTCACATCATCACCTATCTTTGGCAGCATCCTTGGGTGACTGAAGTCTTTTAGAAAAGAGGCATTTGATTTCTAAAAGTGTTGGTTTACGAGCAGACTTGCAGAGACAGGTTACTACACCATCAGCAGAGCAACCAATGGAATGGCTTACTAATGTCAACTTTGAGACCAGGCACTCTGACTTTTAAATTCCCATGTTTCTTTCTTTCAATGAGAATGTAAATTTCACGAGCTTTCTTCTCCTTTTTTCGGCCCGACTGTAAGGCTTGCAGATCCTCTGGAGGGGCAGGTGCACATCCCATGATTTTATTAATAATTTTGTTGGGGTCTGCAGAGGGGTTTTTCAGTAGTGTGGTTGCTCTGGTTGAAACATGCTTAAAAATAGAAGCAGTTATGACACCTTTTCTCATGGCATGCCAAGTTGAATTGTCACTCTGTCCAGCTGTCTGTGCTTCAATAAAGTTAACTTCCTCATCTGTGTAATGCACACTGTCCATAAACATGCAGGCTAATCCTAGTTACCAGGTAGGTGAGTTTTTAAGAAGTTGCAAGCAACTGTTGGCATTGAGAGCTTTAAGCAGGCTTCATTAGGTTCATTCTTTGTAACTTTGTGTGTCAAATTTTGTATTGGCATCAGCAAGGACACAGCCGCAGCTGTTGGTACTATCTGCAATAAAAAGTTAAAAAGTAGGACAGTTGAAATAAAAATTCCCATCTTTAAAAATTTTAGATAATTGTGAGCGGGATGCATGTTGGTTTTACTTGTAGAAACTATTTTAAACAAATTGATTTCTAACTAAAATAAACAAGAAAAGTATTTCTTATACAGGACTAAATTTATGAATATTACAGAATCTTAAATTGTATCATGAAAAATATTTTTGTTTGACAATAACAGCATTTAGACATTTGACCCACCTCTGCAAAATCCTTGGCAAACTGCTCTTGTTGCAATAGTGTCAGGGGTCTTCTGTCATCAGGGTGTCTCGGGTCAAAATCACTGTCTCTCTGAGCAATGTTCTGTACACCATAACTGGAAAAAAGTACAGGTTGAAATTAAAAAAAAAACACAGTAGAGTGTTCTACTGCAGAGGACATATTAATTAGCTGTGATAATAAACATACCAAGCAGATTGTATTCTTAGTTTCTTCACAGGAAGAGGCACATCATGACCCATTGAACGTTTTTCCACTGACCTGGGCTCTCTCTGGAATTTGCTAGGTAATAGTAAATTTACTAATCAAGACAAAAAAGTTTTAGTAAACTTTGTCTGGAACCATGAACAGCATGCTGAAAATGGTGCTTGCTGGTGCAACCTGATATAATTTTGTGACATCAAATTAGGCAGTCTGCTCCACAAAATGTACCATTTATGATGGTACTACAAAACATCACAACAAAAATATACAATGTAGACACCAGAACCTTTATTTGAATGTTTGAAATATTAAATGAACATATTCATGATTATCTGAGTGTGAAAATTAGTCATCATTCAAAACTTCACCAAGTTCACTGCCTAGAACACAAGCCATTTTTGACATATTTTGTAAACTGGTTAATAACTTTTAGAGCAGTTTGTTATTATCAGTTATATCAACAGTATTGTTAGCGGATGAAAATATTCGTCTGTTTTTCATTGCACACCATATTTCAAAAGCACGATGGAAATTAAATCTATCCATCTCCCTTAAACTTGGAGTTTCTAAGGATAATGTCATAAGACAACTAACTGATGACACCTTTAAGGATGCTCTGAGTTTATTTTTTATGAGATTATAACGTGAAAACCCACGTTCACAGTCAGCTGTACTAACTGGCACAATAAGAGCTATTTTGGCTAATATAATTGTATTTGGATAGCTACTTAAAATATTAGTACACAATATTTGCTGCCATGCTGTTTGAAATGACATGCCTCTAAAATTACTTGACAATATACCCTTCACATCTAACCATTCATCCTTTAAATCACTGGCTTCAATGACTGGACTAAAAACTTTATTGTCTGTAGCCTTTTCAGCACCATAATGTTCACATAAAATCTCTATTTCCTGATTTCCATATGTTCTGTATTCATCACTAGAAGGAGGTGGTAGGTTATTTGGTACAAATATTTTGAATGCACCAAGAAGACCAAGATTATCAAACCTATCTTTGAGATTTGAAATTAAGTTATCTAGATAGTGTTTTCGACTACTCTCAAAAAATTTCCTGTAGTTCTTACTGTCTAAAATAGCAACTCCCTCCTCCCCTTCATCAAGAACAACTGAAAATGAGATTCCTTTATCAAGAACTCTTATGTAAAACTTTCCAGATTCTGGGGGTTCATCTGGCACCAAACTTAAGAAATTGAACAATCTGGGACCAGCATTTTCTTTCATATTTTGGAATGTGTCAGTTTTTGCTGTAATGTATGTATACAATATTGAACAATCACTGTCTGATTTTTGAAAAGTCTTGCTTAACAAGTTTAACTGTTTTAAAACATCTGACATGAAATACAGAGTTGCTAGAAATTGATAAGTGGTAACAAATTTTAACAACTCAACTGCAGTGCTATCACCAGACCCACTATTTGGGTATGCATCATCAGCTAAACATAATATCATTGGACCTAGGTTACCCAAGACTGCATCCACTGCTCCCCCAACTGACAACCATCGTGTGTCACAGGGCCTTGTGAACTGCCTAACGGATTCTATATTTAATACAGAATAAATTCTAGCAAGTTTTAATTTGTGTTTGGAGGAATAGTGAAAATAATTATAAATTTGGTTAAGTTTAACTTTAAATTTATCAATATATGAAGACCGAATGTGATGCCTGGGAAGCAGCCAAGGCAAGGCGGTGTGCAATGCAGTGTGTAGCTATCAAAAATGGATTCACTTGGTTTTTCAGAAGTGTTGTCACCCCCTTGTGCTTCCCAGTCATCACACTAGCCCCATCAGTAGAAGAAGCAAACATATTTTCCAGTACTAAACCTTTATCCTTCAGTACTTTTACAACACTGTTATAAATGTCATCAGCTGAAGTTCCTTCCTGAAGACCCACTACTTCAAAAAACCTAATTTTAACAACACCTTTGACAATATAACGCAAGTATATTATTACAGTTTTGTCCATGGCAATATCAGCCATTTCATCAATTAGAATAGCATAATACTTGGATTCTTCTAGCTCTAACAACAGCTCTTCATCAATCACTACTTTCATGGCATCTTGGAAGGCATGAATGGAATCTGGATGTTGGTAGTTTGTGTGGGAATCAACATTCAACCCTTTCAGATCATCACAACCCTATGAAGACAAAATAAAAGCACAATTTAAAATTGATAAAAATATAATGCTAAATAACTATATCATGCCAGTGAATGGTAATATTTGAGGACAGTAACTGTTTGGAGCTGACAATGAATTATGTATACATATATGAACCTTAAAATAAATATAGAGAGGCCACATGTTCTGAATAAAGACTGTATTGATTCAGAAGAAGGTTATTGCATGTATCTTACCTCTCACCTGCATTAAAGTTAACCAATTAAGATCACTGAAATGATCATTAGGGCAGTTCTTCTTAGCCAAATAATAAATATTTTTCATAGCAGCCCTGATAGTAGCTTCTTCTTTGGTACTTGCGTTAGCAAATGCCTCTTTGAATGCCGGGGCATACACCTGTGCAGCAGCAGCTGCCTTGTGGTCAGCAATTCTGGCATGCTTTGTGCAGTAATCTTTAGTCAGATAAGCACATCCACTAGTGAATGAATTCACCTTTCCACTTTTAATGCACCACTGACAGGTCATTACTTTAGTATCCATATTATACTCTAACCATGGAAAAGTAATCTAAAGAAATAAGAAATTTGGTATATATTACCACATAAAACATTTACAAACACAATAAACAAAGTAAGAATAAAATACCATTGGCACTAGTATATTAAACTATAAGTACAGCAAATAGTGGACATAAAATTATGTGACAAAAAAAATATTAGATTACTGCGCTGAACTCATTTGGGCCGTTAAATCATGTGAATAAACTTTCCCGGGAAATTTCTCAGACGCCCACAGAAGAAAAATCTAGGCCAATCAAAAAGCTGTATTGTTATTGTGATGTAATCTCCCGTGCTCATCGTGCATTACAAACCCGCATGTTCGACGTTTATAATGACACAAAATGACTATTCATTTTAATCGAAATTTCTGAATTAAAGTAAAAAAAATAACTAATAACATTTTGGTCTTGTAACTCGATCTCAATACTAAAATGCCCGGTAAGAATGGTACACAAATTACAGATATTTTTCGACCGATTCGCTAACATTGTCTCACCTTCCATTCTGTCTGACATCGTGCTGCAGTACGATCAACTTTCCGTTTCTTGGTGCTGCCAGGGTTAGACAGCCAGGGGTTTCTGGTTCTGAACACGATCTAGCGATTTCTCCATCTCGTCGTGAAAAATAATCGTCAAGCAGTCGTCTGCTCTTTTTTGACGTCTCCATTTTCAATAAATAGACGAATCACGTGTTTGATCAGGGCGACATGAAACCGTCCCATACAGAGAGTAATGCCGCGGGGTATCTTGATACGCATGCCGACCCGACTAAACTACGCATGTGCGATGACACCAAAATAACCTCAGAGTGGAAAAGCATTCAAGAACATTTCCGTGTCGATCGCGATCACTGTGTAACAATTGATGCAATCTCAGAAGTGACGGGACATTGTTTAACTTTAAAATGACAATCACTCAAACCGTAAAACG